GCCCGGGCAGGACTGCAGGGAGAAGGGAGATGCCCCACCAGGGAGGAGAGAAAAAGGATGGGAAAGAGGGAAAAGCAAAACTCTGAGCCCAGCATCGCTCCCGTGCTGCTCATTTTACTCCTCCCTGGACCTTTTCCTGACGTTCTGAGGTGAAAATGCTGCAGAAAACACAGGATCTGGGGGCAAACACTTGTTTTTAACTTGGTTTCTTTTTGATGCAAAGATGCAAAGTGGTGTGTTTGGGGGCAGGGAGGGGTTGCTGGGCCCCTCCAGCAGGGACCCAGAAATGCTCCAGCATTTTGATCTCTCATCTTTTTTGTTTTGCTCCAGGTTCTCCCCCTCTGCCTTTCCTTGCTCCCCAAAATGTTCCCGGTGGGGCCCCATTGTTTTTTTTGCTGGGTGCTCAGGGAAATATTCCCCACATCATCCTCAACCTCCTGCTGCTGCTTTTCCAAGGCCTTAAAAACATCAAGTTGCAACCTGGCAAAAACCAGCACCTGGATCAAGCCAAAAAAAAACCCCCAAAAAGCCCCTTTAAGGACCTCGGGAACCACGAGGTCTTTTTGCTGTTCAACCTGAGCAGCAGATCAGGAGCATGTGAGGGGTAATGAGCAGGTTCCCAGTGTCCAGCCCCCCCAGCCAGACACTGCACACCCCACAGGAGGCTTTCAGAACAGGATTTATTCAGTGCATGCTCTGGGGATGCACAGGACACAGAGGGGAGGAGGCAAATATTGACCTTCAGGTCATTCCCCACCTCATCTGTTGGAGATGCAACACCCAGAGGAAGGGGCTGGATCTCCTAGTCCTTCCCACCAGCCTGCAAAGCTTTGTCACTTGTTTAACACACCTTCCTGGGAATCCTCATGTGAAGGGAGCAGAGACCCAGGGGAATAAAACACACAATGTCCCAGACAACAAAAGCTGTTCTCCAACAAGTCCTGGAACCACCAGGAACATGGTTCTCCTGGCTCTCCTGAGCTCAAGTTGTCCCACCCCATGGGGTGACTTGTTTCTCCTGGCCCAGGTTCCACCACCACACACAGGAGATGTCAACTGGGATCTGTATTGAAATCCAACTACACTGAAGTTACAGAAAGGAGGGAGCCATGCAGGGGGAAAGCTGAGGAGGAGGAGCTGGGAACTCCTCTTTGGGGTGAAGGTTTTTCTTCTGTGCATGCAGAGGGGTCAGGCACAGGCGTTCAGTGAAGTGGTGGGACAGGAGGAACTGAGGGAGCAGGGAGGAGAGGAAGGGGACAAGGGTGAGGAGGAGGAAGGGGTAGTTCTGGCTGTAGCTCCACCTGAGCCAGGAGGGAAACAGAAATTCCTGGGGGGTTGAAATACAAGCCACACTTTTTGGGCAAGAAGATGAAACTTGTCAAAATGGAGACAGAGACGTCAGGAGGGGAGAGAGAACATCTGTGTTGGGAACCTGTCCTGCCCAAGGCCAAACCAACCACATCTCCTCTACAAACACCAGACCATGGCTCATTGCCCCTCAGGTTTCCAGGTGGTTCTGCTTTCCCTGGGGACACGGTGTGGCAGGACCTGCCAGCCACACAGCAGGGTGGGACAGCTCCCCCTTCCAGTTTGGAAACAGACCAGAAGCCCAGGCTGTCTGGGAAGAAAGGAGAAGCATCCAAGGCCACCAACGTTCTGGCAGGCACCTTCCTGCCCTTGGGTCTCCTCAGGAAGGGGACCAAGTTCCCATGGGACTGCCAGCTGCCCTTGGCTCCTCAGGGCTGGAGCAGAAGAAGAGAGTGTGACAACCTGAATTGTCCGTGGTGTCTCCCAAGCCTACCAGGGTTGTGGAACAACCAGTGCTGAAGGAAGTCTTGGTGACTGATGCAGGGACAGCTGAGAAAAGACCATTCAAAGTAGAAGACCCACCAGGATGACACTGGGTAGGAGGAAGAGTGAAAGCCCCAAGCAGGCACAGGGGGCTCCAGCCACGGGCTGATCCAGGTTTGTCTGGGCTGAGTTTGTCTCCAGTTCTTCAGCGTCCAG